AACTTGTGTCGCTAAAGTTTCTTCGGAAAGAATTTTTTACGGAAAATTAACTAACGACCAGAGACGTAACAAAACATTTAACATATAGAATGTAGGCTCTATTCCCATTATCCCGTGAAATTAACGATGTACTTGGCATCCTTAAGATGGAAAAATACAGCAAACTTATAGAAAATTCATTTTATTGACAATTGCTATTATAGTAAATTCAATATCTCTTGAACAAAATTAGATCTACAATGAAAACTTTTAACACGCATGACGTAGACAGTGTGTAAAATTTTCTTCTGATATTATTGACAAATGTTTTTAGGGTAACTTGTCGAAATATATATAACGGTATGACTGGAAATGACGCCATTTACACCAAAAAGATCTACCCCAAATAGTATTACGGGGTTAGTTACATGTTAAGTATTTTTTTATCTTATTATATACTCTCAGTCCTCCGGCTTTTATCCTGTATTTTAATCGATGTCAAAATAAGTTTTTTATTGTTTATGTTTTTTCTTGTTTATTTAGAGATTCGCTTATCGTGTGCTGTATCAGTAGTGGGACCAGTCTTTTCTCTGGGCTTGTGATATTTTCCGTCCTTGGCCACATGGCAGAAGTACAGCAAAAAGATATTTCAGAAGTGGCTCGATCTGGTCCTGGCTTAGCTTTTCTGGCTTACCCTGAAATCGTTGTCAAACTTCCAGGGGCTCCTGTATGGGCAGTCCTTTTCTTTCTCATGTTACTAGTGTTGGGCACGGATAGCCAGGTAACTTTGGTTTTTCAATTGATTAAAAGATATACATAACAAAATTTCTTAGTTTTGTCAGATATCTATGTTAAGTATTTCACCACAAACAATTGTTACCCTAAACAAATGGACAAGTTATTTTATTATAGGGAATTTCAAGAAATATTCTGTAGTTTATCTGGTAATTTAAACGTCAGCAAACAAACGCATATAAAATGACAATTTTAATTTCTAAGCCTTTTCTAAAACATTTATAGACGAATACTTTAATAACTGTTTCTTTGTGTTTAAGTGCAAAGCCAGGAAGGAGAAAAGCTATAAGAATATGTAACTACATGAATGACACAAAAAAACAATTAAACTTGTCCAAATCACTGGTGAGAAATCTATTAAATTTTACATCTTTGTATACATGCATAAATTATTAACAGTAAATTTCTTTCAGTTTTGTACTGTGGAAGCTTTTGTCACAGGGATCGTTGATGAATTTCCAAAGATACTACGGCCACGTCGCAGACTTTTTACCTTTCTTGTTGTTGTTGTTCAGTTTCTTCTTGGACTACCTCTTATTTCTCAGGTGAGTGTTGAACTATAAAACATTGTTTTAATGTCATGTTGTAGAAAATCATTATGAAATTTTATTCCAATTCAAATCACTTTAGTTTGGTTTGGTTGTAGTTAAGCGCAAAGCTACACAATGGGCTATCTGTACTCTGCCTACCATAGGTATCGAAACCTTATTTTCAGCGTCGTAAGCCTGCGGACTTACCGCTGGGCCACTCGGGGCAATCAATTTAGCTTCAGTAGTTTGTAATGGAACACATAGTATTTAAAATTATGGTTGAATTAACGAGATGATTATAAGTGACTTATTCTTTTTTTTTTTTTGTATAGTAATCGTCCTCTAAAATCACAAACAATAATATTGTGCTAAATAAGTTGGGTGAAATCTTCTAAATATTTGATTACGATGTATTGGCTGTGTATGTTTTTGTTGAAATATCACGATAGCTTATATTTTTATGTGCAAATATTAATCTGGAAACTCTTTAGTGATATTTTTGTTGTTTAGTGTGATCAAATAAACAAGATGGACCAAAGGGGACCCCATTAAGGGAAAATAAAACTTCAAGTAATACAACAAATGTTTCTTCATGACTAAGCAGTATTTGTACAATCACCCACTCTGTATAACAACACAAATGTTGAAAGTGTCAACAACCGTTATTAATGTATGTGAAACATCTTTATTTGGGGATCCATTATGAACCACCTTGTATATTTGAACTCGGAGTTTGAATACTTGGAATAATTTTGATAGTATTCTTCAATTAGAAGGAGGATATTATTTGTTCCAATAATAATTGACTATTAATTACAGGGAGGATAGTATTTGTTCCAATAATAATTGACTATTAATTACAGGGAGGACAGTATTTGTTCCAATTAATGGACGATTTTTCGGCAAGTGGAGTCACTCTGTTAACTGTGGTTTTCTTTGAAATCGTTGGATTTGCTTGGATTTATGGTAAGTCTACCTATTGGCCATTTATTCAGATGATTCCTGTCAGAAGTATGTTTCAAACAACATCACTGGAATAAAAACTTTCTTTGTTTTATAAACAATAGTACCTATCAAATAAATGCGAGGGCCAATCTGTTATTGGGATTTTCCAAAATTGGTATAACTCAGTGACTAGTGATAAATCTAATGACAGATTGAAAAATAAGGCTAAGCTTCAAATACTGGTGCAGTGTTTATTATATGTGTGGTGTTTTGAGACATTTTTACTCATATTTATATAGGAATTTCAAGAACATTCAGCGTTATTTTTTAGTCTTTTAAACAGCTTGTCACCAGAATAATTCACAAAAATAAATTACTAGAATTCTGCATACTCTTGAAATTCCTTATATAGGATCACTTTAGATACCTTAAAACACGAAGAGCAACTGTTGTAATGTGGCCAAAAACGATTCGATTTTTGAATATGTATTAGCTATCTTGAACTATACTCTTTGTGCTTTGTTAAAACGTTCTGCTTAATTGCCAGAGATTCTTTTTCGGGATGAAAAATATAGTTTTAAGTTACGCATATGTATCTCAAAATTACACCATTAATATACGTTGTCTTGAGCATCAAATAAGATTGAATTTTGTTACAGATTTTATCAGTTCTGTGATCTTAACTTTCTGTCACGTTTCTTAAGAATTACACTCGTCGTGCAACAGATATGGAAAAATAAAGCAACTTTGCAGTTATTAATTGATATGTATATGGAACTGAATTGCCTTCACGTTTTTGTCACGTAATCAAGTAAAGTGAAAACATTTAATATTTCCTTTTTAGGCTCAAAACAAATTTGCTGCAACATTAAGCATATGATTGGATTCCAGCCTAACCCCTTTTTTGTATTCTGCTGGGTAATAGCAGCACCTGTTGTTATTATGGTAAGTTATATTGTATAACAAAAAGTGATTCCAAAACTGATTTCCTAGTAATATAAGTTTAGTAACGTTATAAAATCTTATAGTTTTAACATATACAAATCAATTATGCTAGTAGCCTAACTAATAGGTCTTTTCTAGCTTCACCGTAATGATCTGTTTTTAATAAGTTGTTTGCATTTTATCCTTTTATTGATTCGTTTTTAGTTAAGTATAGGTATTATTTTTCGTTTTATTAGGAAAAACCGACTGGAAACAGCAAACGATAATTTTATATCTGAAAAACGCGGTTTTTAAGTTTTAGTTTCATTTCACATGCGAGGCTTATTAATAGAGGTTCATTCTGATAGACAGTGTATCCCAACC